TGACAATATATTAGAATTTAAAATTCAATCTCTATTATCCTCCTTAGGCATTTTACACAAAATGTATTGTGTAGAAACACCTCAACACAACTATATCGTTGAGAGAAAACATCATCATCTATTAAATGTCACTAGAGTCTTACTTTTTCAATCACACCTTCCAAAATGTTTTTGGTCATACGCCTTATTACATGCTGCTTTCATTATTAATTGCCTTCCCACCCCTGTTCTCAACCATCAATGACCTTATGACCTTATTTTTCAACAACCTCCCACATTCCTTGACCGAAAAGCTTTTGGTTTCCTTTCCTTTGTTTCCACATTAATACAAAAGCGAGATAAATTGGACCATAGAGCACAAAAATATCTTTTTTTTTGGGTTATAAAACTGGAGCCAAAGGTTAAATTCTTTTTTATTTGCACACATAGCATTTTCATTTCTAGAAACGTCATATTTAATGAAAATATTTTTCGCTTATAAGTCCACTACTACTAATGATGTACCAAATTATCATAATGACCCTATTGATACTACATGTTTTCATGATTCTTTTCTCACTCATAATATCACACTTCTCCCCTCCCCCTATTCATGATAAACACCATTGACAATTCTCCCACACACGATAATACCGCTGATCATGCAAATTTAAATGAACAATTCTTTGCAGAAGAATCAACATTTGTGGTTGAACAAAACTTAAGAAAATCCATCCGGGTTTCAAAAACCCCACATATCTCCATGATTTTCAATGTTATAATATCATCACTAATGATACTTATCTTTTATGCAATTTTATTTTTTATGACAATTTATCTACTGCACATCATTCTTATATCTCTGTCGTCGGTTAACCAAGAACCCGCACACATACAAACAGACTGGCCAAAGTAATCATTGGCAGTCAATTATGGCTAGTGAAATTCATGCTTTAAATTTCAATAAGACATAGATCATCTCTGATTTACCCCTTGTAAGAATCCCATTGGCTGTAAATGGGTCTACAAGATCAAATTTAACACCAATGACACTATTAAGTAGTATAAAGCTTGTTTAGTTGCTAAAGGGTATAACCAAATTGAAGGTATTGATTTCTTTGAGACTTATTCTCCTGTTGCTAAATTAACAACCATTAAATTGCTTTTAGCTATTGCTTCTTCTCAAAACTAGCATTTTCACCAACTTAATATGCATAATACTTTTTTACACGGTGATTTGGAAGAAGAGGTATATATAAATTTTCGTCATGGTCTCTATTCTTCCAAACCTAACCAAGTTTGCAGATAAAATAAATCTATTTATGGCTTAAAGAAATCTAGCAAACAATGGTTTTCTAAACTCACCACTGTATTGCTTAGTAAGCAATATATTTAAGCTTCTTCTGACCCATCCCTTTTCATCAAACATGTAAAAAATTCCTTTACTGCTTTGCTGATTTATGGACTTAGTTCTAGCGAGCAACAATATTAATGAAATCAATTTCATGAAGTCCTTTCTAAATCAAACCTTTAAAATCAAAGACCTTGATCAATTGAAACATTTTTTCGGAATCAAAATTTCTCATTCTTATGCTGGTATTCATCTATGTCAAAGAAAATATGCCTTAGATCTTTTATCTGTTATAGGTTTACTTGTTGTGAAGTCGCTTTCAACACCTATGTAGCGTAACACAAGACTTCAACAAGATTCTGGTGATCCTTTATCTGATCCTACACCATTCAGACATCTTGTTGGCCAGCTTATCTATCTTACCAACACTCGCCTAGATCTATCCTATTTTGTTCAGCAACTCAGTTAATTCATGAGCAAACCAACCAATGTTCATTACGCAGAAGCACTACGTGTTATCATATACATTAAGTTAGCTCCAGCTTCTGGTCTTTTCTATCCCGCATCTTCACCTTTTCAAATAAAGGCTTTTTGTGATTATGATTGGAAATCCAAGATACCCGCCACTCTACTTCTGGTTTCTGTATTTTTCTCGGGGATTCTCTAATTTCATGGAAATCCAAGAAACAACCAACAATTTCGAAAGCATCCACAGAAGCTGAATATCACCCCATGGTTACCACAACGTGTGTAATTTAATGGCTTACTTACCACTTGCAAGAACTCAATGTAAATTTCATCTCTCCTACACGACTCTCTTGTGACAGCTAATCAGCCCGCCATATAGCGGTCAACACTTTCTTCCACGAAAGAACCAAACATATAGAGCTTGATTGCCACATCTTCAGTGAAAAATTGCAACAAAAGCTATTTCACCTTTTACCTATATCTTCAACACATCGGCTCGCCGACCTCCTTACAAAATCGCTTGATCCATCTCCGCTCTCTCATCTTGGTTCCAAACTGGGTCTTTATATTTTATTTCCTTTTCATACAATGTATTTAGTTTTAGGATCTATATTTTTTATATTTGGGCCTTACACATTGTAAGCCGATTTCTCCTTTGTAATACCAATCATATACAAAATGGACTTAGGGAATTTTTTCATTTATCAGAAACTTTTAGGGGATTTCTTACCACATCCAATGCCTATGAAAAAAACCCTATGAAAACCCAATTTTGCCCCTACATTATCGTAAGTGTATCTCTAAGACGCACCTTTTTTTGTTAAACTTCAATTATTCTCAAAGATGTATCTATGGGAGGGAATCGGAAATGCAATCCCGGTTAATTAGTGCGAGAAATTGAAAATTCTTCCACCTTTGCATGTCAGATATTATCGGAAGTATATTTCCAAAAAAATCAAAAGTCAAATTGCTTAAAACAATAACTAGCATGAACTAGGATGATCACCTTCATTTCCAAAAGTTTCCATAAACCCTCTCCAAAAACTCTTCCAATTTAAATCAAAATTTTCACTCCAAATCTTCATTCTTGTGGTTCATCATATCAAAAGAAGTTAAAGAAAGTGAAATTTAAGGTAAAGTTCATTCATTTCAACTCACAATAATTTGGTTTTTCATGAAAAAAGGTCACGCTAATACCAGAAAAGTATTTTTCGGGTACGCAATAAACTAGATCGGATATACATTTTCGGTTTATATCTGTGCTTATTTTCTAGCAATTTATTCCTTGCTATAAATGTTTCTTAGTTAAATATTTTTTTTTATATTAGGTATGGTGCATCTCGATACTATTCTGAAATCTATTGTTGTCCGTGATACTCTTATCAGAGAGTTAAGGAGCAATAGAGAATTATATACACGAGTGCTCGGGACTAAAGAGAAAGTTGAAGAAATTTATCATGCTCTTGTACCTTGCGCCAGTGGATTTTCCCCAGAGGAGAAATGAACGCGGTTTCCTGAGATGGGTTATCTCATTGCAAGTGCGTATGAGAGAGTGTGTATTAATCTTTCAAGATACGGTTTCCCAGAAACATTTTTCACACTACACACTGCTGCACCATTAAATCCCAATGATCATATCATCTCTGTTGGGTGGGTTCCAAATCTGCATAATTTTCTTCAAGTGTATTTGAAACCGGAATGCCCTATATCACTTACATCACCAGAGTGGGTGAATCATTATATAATCCAATCTGAGACTTGACCAGACCAATTTATTAAAAGGATGCAAGAATACACCAAATTGAACAATATTGAAATAGAAAAAAATAAGGAAAAATGAAAGGGAGTACCACCTATAGATTTGGAAGACGACAATTATTTTGAATCATTTAAGTAGTTGTTTATCATTTTATTGTATATGACATTTTGTTAATGTATTATGCTGTGGAATATAAACATTTTATAGTTTGTCCAAAAATATCAGCATTCAAGATAATTATATGATTTTGTTTTTGTTATGTTTTCTGGTTTTTAATACCAGGAAAGTTTCCTGAGATACATCTTCGATACTAAATTAAGGGTGTTTCCGGAGTTACATCTCCGATACATTCTCTGTCAGCATATATGATCAGTGAGGTCCATAATATCATCCCGCTATTATAAATAAACTCACTTGCGGTTTTGTTTATACCAAAAAAAAAAAAGTCAGCATGAACACCAAATGACATGATGGAAATGTTCACTTTACTCGCAATACACCATCCAAAAAATTTAAGATCAACGAGTACACCCCTCTTGAAGATCTGCAATACATATTGCAGAAGCTCCTACCATATAGTGACAATCGGAAAGTCGTGAAGATCGAGTACCACTCGCCATCCGTTGACGAAGAAGGGAAGTTTGAGTTCAACAACCATGAGCTGAAGACGGACGCTGATTTGCGGACTATGTGGAGAACCTTTTTCCATTTAGAATTAAAAGTTTCGATCGAGCTGAATGCGACTATTTTGAGATTGGTCGATGATAATATCAAGATGTTGCAACGTCCACCTGGATGTTGAAGTGTAACGTTTGATCTATGTTAAAATCCCTTACGTATTGCTTATTTAATGATATCAATGGTGTTGAAATTTTGGGAAGTTTGTATTTCATTTATATTTTTGCTACATTCTCTAAGGTATTTTTCCGGAAATATAATACCGATTTGATACCGTAAATATATCTTTGATAAAGTTTGTATTTTATGAAATTTACGTCTTGAAGATATATCTCTAAAATTTAAAGCCATCTAAATATTTTCGTGCGGTGCACTATAACAAAGAAATTCCCAACTTTTTTTTCAGTTCATTGTCTTCTCTTTGGGTCCAATGGACCAGTATGGCACTCACCCCAATACTGTAATAATTTCAACATGAATGATTACGATGAAGATATAAAACATGTTTCGAGTATTCACATAACACCACTCAAAGGATATTATATTGTTCAAGTAGCTTCAATTATCAAAAGTTACATTAATTTTGCCAATAAAAAACATTATTCTTTCTAGTGGCATGCCAATAGGCGCTGCTTCCTGCTCATGAACTCCATTCTAAATATCTACAATGTAAGTGCTGAATGCTATGCTAAGTATACAATCTTCCTTTTAGAAATTTCAACTAAACTTCAATAAAATCATTTGAAAAATGTCCTCTATAATAACTCATAGGGACAAAATATAAGAAGACGTGTCGGGACAAATATCCTGAGCTACCTGGAGGAGGTATTCTAAGTTAATATCATCAGGATAGTGTTGTAAAAGCTTTATATTAGCCACAAAATCACCGCTTAGTAGTCTACTTTTCACGCAAAGTAGCATCGCACAACAGATCCGAAGAAGCATATCCTGCAAATGCATAATCATCCATGATAAAGTTTACAGCAAGAATATTGCCAAAGAGTTCAATAGAGAAAGAGAGAAACCTGAACACCAAAAGTATTACTCAGAATTGTATCCCATATTCGTAAGATAGATTCAAACTTGAACTCCTGAGTGAGTAACAGTGTAATCCACCGGAATGCATAGAATTGTGGTTTAACCTGCTCATGAGATTCTGTGACATGAGTTTTAAATAAAATGGAACTGCATAAACTGTTGAATTAAAAATGTTGGAAGGCTCTACCTTTGAAATAAATTCAAGATGATGCCATAATTGCTCATCATTTACTTTAAGTATATCCGACAAACGAGAAAGAGTAGCAAGTATACCACTTGAACTGTTGTCCAATTGTTGACAGAAATGATCCACAGAGTCGCCTAATATTCGAACAAAACAAGAAAAACTATCTGCTTCTGCATTCGCCTAAGAGAGAAAATAAAGCAAAAGTAAATAATCAAGTTGAAATTTTCAAAACACAAGTTATAACCTCTTTCAACCATTTACTTTGGTATTCTGCTAAGTATGTATTCATCTTTAAACAAACTACGTATTCACATGATTAACAGTCTCTACTAAGAAAGTGCTTACAGCATTTTGCTTGTCAGTATCAGTACTAAATACAAAGTATATAGGCGCCAAGACCTCGTTCATGCCTTGCACATAACAGATTGCAGGATTCGACTTCGCAAACAGGAGAAGAATATTCTTCATTGCTTCCTATTGACAAAAGTATCAATAAAAACTTCAGTCAGAGGCGAGCTCTCTAAAAATCTATTACTTCACACAGGGAGCAGGGGGTATTTATTTACCCTATTTTTTCGACTAAAAGATGTCTCTGCTGAAAAGAAAGGCATGTCTGGATGAGTACGCTGCAAATCTCGATCTATTTGTTCCACTATCTCTGTGTGCTAGAAAATGAACAACTGGTGATAAGCATCAACTTCAGTGTCTAAAGTAACTTTGAAATGGAGAAGAAACTTACCTGAAAGTACTGTCTCCAAAGACTTTCCTTATCGAGGCTCAAAGGGTGATCTTCCACAGAAATTTCTTGTCGCCTAAGGGGGCCATCAGCGTTATTGTCCTCATGCTGCTTAGTGGAATTTAAGTGTGTAGGTTCCTTCCAGATATGCTCTGACTGTCTTGGATTCAACAATGTGATCAGTGAAAGAAAAGCTGGAGCTTGGCATGTTCAATATAGATATGGCAATGTATCTCATGTTAAAATTGTGCAAACCAGCTGTATATTACCGGATTCATAAGAAGCTCCTCTTTCATAGAAGCATACTTTTGCCTATTTTCCTTTAATTGAGTCTCCCATAGGTCATGAGATGAAGGTAAGTAGCCCAAGAGTAGCTGGATATGGAAATCATAACAGGACAATCAGCTGCTTGTGTGAAGACATAGCCACAATCAAACCTCAGCATATTCAATAAACCAAAATTCTTAATACCAATGGTAGAAACCTACATATATAATAAAGTAACATAAACCAAACTCCAACTTCAATCAATGCCCCGCCACTACTCACATCACATATCTCCAATTCTAGTTTTACAGTCTTTTCTTTCTCCACTCCTGCAGTCTAGTTCTGATTTGCTGGTCTAATATTTTATATATATATATGAATCACGGACACCAGAAACATGACACCGACACCGACACTGATACGTTGACATCCGTAATAATTTGTCCAATGAATAAATTAAACATAAATACAAGTGTCAACTCACACAAACACATACATGTCTTTTTTCAGAGGTGTCAGTGCTTCATAGAGCTGCATAATACCTGATGATGGAATGAAATTCATAAACACATAATAAATATTACTCCTCATTATCGTAAGTTGCCAACGTGCTAAGGTATCACGACCTTACATTAACATGCAAAATGAGCACCAAATTTGAAATTTTCAAATAAGCTAAACGAACATGAATGAAGTAAGTTATCACTACCTTCCAAGCCGTTGCACGCAAACCTCCTCCATCAGGAATCCCAGTGCTGGCAATTCTTCGCAACTTTTCCAAATTAATCTCTCTCCGAGAAAGCTAGATAAACAAGTAAAAGCTTAAATTACACAAAATCCTAAAAAAACAAATCCATAATCGACATTTCATTTAAATTATTCATGACCTAATCAATTTAATTCAATCAAACACTACCACACTTCCAAGTATTCCAACCTCATATTCTAGATCCGATCTTTTCTCATCCAAAGAAATCGATTTCAACACCGAAACCGAAGTCGAAGCAGCATCTTTATTCATCTTCTTCCGAATTCTTTGATCATTTTCATCTTTTCCGTCATCCATAACCTCACCTCCATCGTCGCTCTCTCTGTGAAACCCTAACGCGCCAGGTTTAATAGCCTCCAGCTCTTCCCCAGACTCGACTTCAAACTCAGATCTCTCGATTTCATTTCCTTTTTCGTCCAATCCGGCGACCATCACCAAGCTTCCAAGACGGTCGGGAAAGATCCTCCCAGGCTTGTCGGAAGCTGGAAGCTTGAGCCTGTCTTTGAGCATAGCGGATGAGGTAGTTGAAATGGTGGAAAATGGAGTTCGGAAGCGTGAGAGAGAAAAAGTAGGTTCTGGTTCTGCAAGTTCGGAAGAAGAATGGTGGTTGTTAAGGAAGTTACGAGTTGAATGGCAGTTAGGCGCCAAAAACACTACAAAATTTTACTAATATTTTCCTTAGAAAAACGACAATTAAAAAAGTATAAGAGAAAAGTGACTATCCACTAAAATCATTGTGTAAATTAATTTTACACAGACAAAAAATAATATATTTTGTCAAATTAAATTAAAGTTTTTAAATTATTTAAATTATATGACATAGTAATATATTTTTACGAGATAATTCAGTGCATCAAGTACAATAAACATAACACATTATTTACCTTAACTAAATGAAAAATTGTAAAACTATTCCACTTTTTAAAATAAGTTAGAGTATATTTTTTAAAAATGTCTACTTAGAATTTATTTTATATTTTCAAAAATAAAAAATCTAAAAAATCGTATTAAAAAACAATAACATTTAATAATAATCAATTTAGTTATAATAACCATAGATTTTAAAATTTAATAATTGCATATTTTAAAAAAGTTATTATGTATTTTGTTCAGTAATACTTTTTTCTATAGAAGTTAAATAAATAAAAAGAAAAAGAGAGAACAAAGGAGTCAAGGGGGTGGTATCAGAACTCATTTCATAAGATATAAATCTAAAAAAGAAAATTTCAAGTTTATTCTTTTAAAAATCATTTTTTATTTCTAGAGGAATAGAATTAAAAAAAATGTAATTTGGATGAGGAATTTTAATGGGGAAAAGTAATTGATCAAAATTAATTGTTTGAATAAAAAATATAGAGATGGTTAAAATGATAAAAAATTAAATTTTTTTTTATCTAAGTTAAATTTAAAAAAGTTAAAAAAAAACATAAAAGTAAGAAATGTGACACATTTGATTAGCATTGTTTGACATTTCCATGAAAGAAAACATGAAGGAAAGATATTTCCCCAAAAAGAGATAATTTCATAGTCAGAAATGTTTCCTATTCAATTAGCATCTAATCGTCTCCGAGTCAGATAAATAACTTAATGAAACACTAAATTATATAAATGCATATGTGTAAACTGTTTCTACAACCAAATAAAGAAATAAACAAACAAACAAAACAAACTGTATAATTTATTTATAAGTTGTTTCTATAAACTATTATGGAGAGTTTAAGAAAATAAAGTAAAATAAACTTATAAGATATCTTAAGCTCTTCCAAACACTTAGACAAGTGTTTATGTCATAGCTCATCACTTAAACTCAGATAAACTCTAAAGATATACTACTATATGTTCACTATAGACATTGCAATCCACATACAAGTCAAACAAAAATTATAAGAGTCCAACATATTTTGCCTCCACAAAAGCAATTCGACTTGAATGCACCTGGTCCCCCAAAAGCCTCAAGCGTGTAAGCTAAGAAACAGAAAGGCAGTGTCAAACAACATTTAACTTTTGAGATATCCTCTCAGGCTTGTCGAAAGCTAGAAGCTTGAGCTTTTCTCTGAGCATGGCAGATGAGTTAATATCAATGGTAGAAAGTGCAAATCGAAAGCGCGACAAAGAACGAGTAGGTTCTGATTCTGCAAATTTGGCTCTTTCTCCTCTTCCATGACTCAGATATCAAACTCAGTGTACTCATAAGAAGAAGAATCGTGATTGTTAAGGAAGTAAAGAGTTGAATGGCGGGTAGCACCAAAAACACTACATTTTTGCTAATATTTTTGTTAGAAAAATTACAATCCAAAAAGTATAATAAACATACCACATTATTCACCTTAGCTAAATGAAAACTTGTAAAACTATTTTACATTTTAAAATAAATTATTACTTATTTTTAAAATGGCTGCTTATAATGTATTTTAGATTTTTAAAAATAAAAAAATCTAAAAAATTGTATTAAAAAACAATAACATTCAATCATAACCGATTTTGCGGGTAAACCACAACACTACTAATGAAGGTCCTGTTAAGGAATGCTTGTGGCGTGGGAAACCTAGATACTAGGTTGACAAATTAAAAATTATGCTCTTAGTAGTTGAACCATTGATATTTTATACTCAATTTCCTTGAGATAGTCTAAGGATTATTAATATGAGAAGGATGGCATTGTGATTTAGGTAACATAATGAGTCAAATCATTGGGCATTCTGCAATTTGGATATGCAACTAGATGTATTGGCCTTGTCTGAGCAACATATCTTCTTCTCTTTTTATGGTTAAGGATATGAAACACTATATGGCCAACTTATGCAAGCATATCACACGTGGCTATGAGACAATTATGAGACAAACTTAGCTCACTACAACATACTAATCCAAGTCCTTGGAGTTTCTTTGGTGATTTTAATGCATTACTTGGTGCACACAAAAGGTAAGGGAGATGGAATCCTAACAAAACTTCTTCTGACAAATTTATAAAATGGACTAATGATAATGAACTCATTCACATTCACACTAATGGAAGCTTTAATACTTAGAATAATGATAGAAAAGGTAGAAATTATGCGATAAATATATTTGATAGAAGTATTTGTGACTAGCTATAGTTGGAATCTTAGCATTCCATCAGATGCACAGCTTAAAAAAAAACACTCTACTCAGTATCCCTTACTATCTAATGAAAGACTCCATTCGAATAACTGAGTAAAAAGTTATGTTCAATTGAATTTGTGAAAAACACACAGATCTTTTGTACTTAGAAAAATTTTAAGTGTTGAACTTTAAAATCACCTATAATGTTCTTCAAAATTACATGACCTTCCACTCAAAATTTTATCTTGATATATGAAGATGACATAAAGTAAGTCTCTTGATTTGAAGTGTGGAATTAAGATCACTCAAAAATCATAAAAATTGAAAGAGTTATGGTATTTGGAAGATGATGAACAATTTTGGGGAAAATCACAAAAGACCTATAATCTTTTCAATTCTTCAACCACTTTTCAAGCATTTTCAAGTCTTGCACATAAAAATAAAGTTGTAGTACACATCCCAAAGATTATTACGGAAAAGGAATAAGCTCAAGGAGATAAAAATTTACCAAGTTATGATCATTTGAAGTCAAACCTTAAAATTCAAAGGCCTTTCAAAGAGACATGTAATATTTCTCAATCATTAGTATTCTTCCATTCAAAATTAGCCCTAGATCTCTGAAGAGAGCTTGTTAAGGATCCTTTAAAGAGAATCATGACTTTAGAACCAATCAAAAATATCAAACAATGAGCAAAATATGGTCCCTAGAAGTCAACAAACCCTAGCTAAGAGAGTGTCAAAATGACTTGAAACCCCTTTCAATTTTTGATGATTTTTCTTGCATAATTGGATCTTGTCATGTGAAGAGAGGTTGTTGTAGATGATGATAAGAATCCATAGTAAAAAGAACCAACTCAAGATGTTAAAAATTGAGAGTGTTATGGACTTGTGATCACTAAATCTAGTATTTGTTCAATTAGGTCAAACTTGTTGAGCCAACCTTGAATCTCTTTGAACTTTCTTGACAAAATAAAGCATGATGAATCATGAGAGGTCTTGAAATGACGTTGTCTTGAAGTAAACTTAAATATGGAGCTTAAGTATCAATTAAGCTTGTTGAAGAAGTCATGGAAATAAACACATGAACCTATGGATCTTCTTGATGAATTTCACCACCAAATTTGGGGAGATCTTGACCTAAATAAAGTGAGAGCTCATTGAACCAAATTTTTTTGATGTCATAGACATTACCTTGAATATTGAGCTCTTGCAATCCATTAGAGAACCATTTGATTGAGAATCATCCCTCTAACCCTCAATTAGATGGTGAGATGAATGCAATTGTGATCACCTACAATATGAACATTCAAAGGAACATATATACACATATTGATGTTAGTTAAAAAAAAAATACATGTACAAGATACACAATTCAAGGTGATTGGCAATCCCTCAATAACAAACTTAAAGATATGATAAGGAGAGAAACAACCATAATGTGTGTGTCTTGATGCATTGTGACATGAAATAATGAGAAATCTTAGGGGGGAAAATTTGAGTATAACAGCTTCCCTTATTTAAGTATCTTCTATCCGGAGATACAAATGTTAAAATCTTCGTCTCGACGCGATTGAAGATACTTAAATACAAAACAAACACTATTTTTGGCCATAAGATGCCCTGAAATTCTTATGATCATGAATGAAAAAAAACAACTCCAAAGGCGACACAGAACACCATTGGGTAAGCAGAAGATAAAACAATAGATCAAAAATAGAGTTCAACCAGGAAAATAAGTTTTTGGGGAACAGAAGACTCAACTCTACTGAGGTAAAGCCCAAAGAGGAGATAAGGCATCACTAAATCAAATATTGAGGAAAAAGTAATGGATGATAACGATCGACTGATAACTGTGAACTACCCACTCCTAGAGGGGATAGAAAAAAGAGAGTAACATCGACTCGTAGGGGATTAAAAATTAACGACCCGGAGGATGCAAATAGAAGTGGTAAGACAATAACGGTAAATACTAATATTAGGGTCGGTAACAATTGATTGGCATCAGTACTTATGACTAGAGACGTATGATTGACATCAGTACTCATGGTTGGGAACAACTCAAATTTTTTAGAGCAAAGTGAATCTCAATAATGAACCATCTCCCGTAATGAAGAGGCTACCATTAATTGGAGTAAAACATTACAACAACGAATTATCTCCCTTAATGAAGAGACTACCATCCATCAGAGTAAAACATCTCAACAACAAACTATCTCCCATAATGAAGAGACTACCATCCATCAGAGTAAAACATCTCAACAAAGAACCATCTCCCATAATGATGAGACCACTATTCATCAGAGTAAAACATCTCAACAATGAACTATCTCCCATAATGACGAGACTATCATCCATCAGAGTAAAATATCTCAACAACAAACTATCTCTCATAATGACGAGACTACCATCCATCAGAGTAAAGCATC